TAGACAGTAGATCTAGTTCATAAAATAAAAGTTACATCCTAAAGTACCGACTTTTTGTTATCCTGGAACAGTCTTTTGTGTTAATTTCATGTCTCATGTATGCTGTTTCATTACAGTTTACCATTATTTCTGCATATCTGAAAACTTGTAATTTATCACAATAAAAATAGTGGAGGTCTCTCCATAATACAAACGCTCTTCGTCGTAAGTCGATCCAATTCACGTTTGGCCTGACGAGCTTCAGCAGATAGATTTTTTTGTTTTGTGTTTTATATTTATATCTGTGATTACAACCCCTTCACACACAGGCAATAAAAAAAGATTCATTTTAGAAGAAAAGTTACATATAGCACCTTTAACAAGGAAAAAACTACTCGATGTTACTGAAGTGTTTAGGTACTGCTGGGGAGACTGGTTTTTAGAGAATGTGGCATTTCAACAACCCATTCACAGTCATTTGCTTATCTAATTAAAGTATTTTTCTTTGGTAAAAGAAATAATAAAAAAAAATAACACTTCAGACTTAATACACTAGACACTAAGGCCGTGTGTCCACCAAAGCGTTTTTCCATGCGCCTGGCGTATGTTTTCAATTGTTTTCAATGGGAGCGCCACGTTTTTTAAACGCCATGAGCGTACCGAGGCGGAGCGTTTTTTTCACGCTGAAGCGCGGAGCGCCCAGCGTTTTTTACTGGTCGCTGGGAATTGAAAAATGTTAAACTTACCCAGCCATCCAATCAAACAGTGGAGGAGGGGCGGGACTAATACCACACGACCAACTGTCACAACATTCAAACTGCTGCAAATATTCTGTATCATAGCAACGAACGTCTCAACGGAAAAAATGCTGCGTTGCCAAAATGCTCTCAAGCGCCCAAAGCACGGCGTCTTCAGCAGAGCGTCTAGCGTTTTCAGCTGGATAAAAACGCTTTGGTGGACACACGGCCTAAGGCCACGTTTACACAAAGCCGGGTATTTAGAGAAATGAATATTTTCCCCCTCTCCATTTTCAATAATAACATCGTGCACACACCCGCATAAATACGCCGTCGAGCGCCATCATATCTATGCCAAACCTATGGGCGGCAGTGTAGGGAGAAGGATAAAGCCATGCAAGCCAATCAGAATCCTCAGAAACGACAAGAGAGAACCTAAAACACTGTTTCTCCCAGTGCACACGACAACACATAACTGGCGTTTTCAGAAATCTCCACTTTGGCCGGAGTTTTTAGAAATAATCGTTTTCTGTGATAAAAACTGGGTTTTCGTGTAAATTTCGTGTAAAATATCTGCGTTTTCCCTTCGTGTAAATGGGGCCTAACACTAGAATAATGGACCATCTTTAAGTAACTATGCAGGAAGTAATGCTGGACTAATGAGTAGTACTACATTAACAGTTCAGCTACTGCTATTAACTAATATAGAAACAAGCTTAACTAATTAGGAAGCAATATCGAATTTAAGACTAAGATAGTTCTAGCCTGACTACGTCAGACTTACTACTTCCGCTAATTTCATTTCGCTCCTGTAGTGAGTCTGAGATAGCGGCCTATCTTTCAGTTTTCCACCGGCCTGAAAACAGCCGGCCAATCAACGAACAGAGGGCGGGCTGAGAGCCGTGACGTAGACGCTAAGCGCCGAGTTTACATTGTAGGTTAGAGAAATCGAAAACCGAAACGACCAGCCACGTTCACTCCGGTATTTCGCTCGCATCATCAGTGTTTACAGCTAGGACCGGCGCGTGCACTTCTGCCGCTCTAGGCAAAAAACAATTTTGCTGCCCCTCTATTTGCAACGTATACCAGCAAAAACCAGCATGCTTGGCCATTATGTAGCTTGCACAATGCGCATACACTTTTGATTCTCTCATCAACACAGATATGCAGCCGTTTTCATTTTTGCAAATCATTATAACAAGGAAAAATATTAACACTTCAAGCTTAGGCATTTAGGCTACGCAATTTTTTCAGGCTAATTGTAGTAATGATGGATCAGACCTCTTTGGCCATAACTACAGTATATGCATAACAGAACATAACTTACCCCCATTCAACGTCAGTTCTCCGTCTTTTACGCTCATGACAAGAGAGTCGGTCTCCTCCGCTGTGAACGCTCCTGGTGCGCTCTTATTATCATATTATTATTATCATAATAATAACAACAATCCACCATATTTGGTTTCGACATCCTGCTGCATTAGTCCCAGATATGTGATTCATGAACGATCTGTTTATTGCGTATGTCACGTGACAAATGAACGTAAGACTCGGAAGGTAAAGTGATTATTTATGTTCCCTGTAAATCAGTTTTTACTGCATTATGATTTCTTAATTCAGAATATGATCAGTGTCACTCGTGACAATCGGAGGGGGACGGAACTATTATTTTGGGCCTTCGTTCCCCTGGGGAACATTTCCGGGGGAGGACCTAAGACTTCCCCGGTTCCTAGTTGATGTGCAGCAGGTGCGCATTGTGAGCGCGTCTATAGCTGATTGGCGCACGCGCCATGCCAGCACAGTTGAAAAGGTCTTTGGTTGGTGATCGGGAGCAGGAAGGGGCAGAAAGAGAACAACGTGTCTGAGCTGGTCGAAGTCCTCGACGAGTAAAAGAGTGCAACAGGGAGATAAGTGACATTCATTGGGCTGGAGCAAGCGGTAGGAGGAATGGTTATGATTATGTGGGCTGGTGTATGGAATTAATGATAGTTTCGCTGCAGCTACATCAGTGAGCACCCTGATCTCTCATTCTCTCTGCCTGAGCTTCACAGAGTAGTCACGTCGACGAAGATCTCCCTTGTGCGAATAGAGTTACGGATTCCAGTGGCCTACAATTCTGTCCAGGCCTACACGACGAAACCATCTGCTCAACATTCTTAAACCTCCCGCTTAATCTGTTCATTGGTCTCTTTGTCCGTTCATTGGTGCCCTTGTGGTGTCGGCTCCTCGCGGTGGGGTGTACGTCCGTCCGGGTGTGGGTCGGACCATCCCGGGGCGGTGACATCAACATTGCGTAGGTGGATGTGATCGGGGAATTTGGCTGTTAAAATTATAACATTAAGCCACTTAAATAAACGAAATGACTCGAATGACTCAGAAATCAGTAAAATGAACTTCCTATTCATGACTCGTGAGAGCAGCGGCTCGGTCTTGTCCTCGCTGAGCTGCGGCCGCAACTCAGTAATTCATATAAATAACCTGGTTTGTGAATTGTTCATTCCCGGTTGGCACACATTTTGCAGCCCTTACAAAAGCGCCGCTCCCTGTTTACAGTGGAAGTTCGATCATAGATTTGAGTTCGATGCATAATGTCTCGATGCGGCCGTGTCGGCGCATAACATACGTCATAAATAAACGTATCTGATTGGCTTACGGGTAACCAATGATTTTAAACTTCAGAGAAGCGCCCCCTTGCGAGAGAGAAAACACTTCTCTATTATGCCATTCCGGACTCTGTCTACGAAGCAAAGTGAAGTAGCAGAGTCTGGTATTACCAGGCTAAGATAGTTCTACCAGAAAGACTCGGGAGATAAAATGATGTAACAAAGCATCCATTTATTGACAGCCCAGCAAGCAATTATTTTCAAAGTTCTTTGGCGTAGGCCCCGTCCATAGATCGTAATCCGAGGGTAGCGGATCAGCATTTCCTGCCTGAAGACGAAGGCAGGGGCGCAGCCGATCCCCCGGGAAGTGTAGACGGGACCAACCTGGTGGTGGTGGGGAGGGTGGAGGTTGTTGTCGCGTCGGCATCTGCGAACTCAAACATGTGTAAGTACCGATCTTTTATACCACAAGAATAAGAACGTGATTGGATAACCTGAATGTAACACGTGACGCGGTAATTAAGTCTTCCTGGCAGAACTTATGCTAAAGCTTTCATTTCTATATTGGGTAATCAATGATTACTTACTTAGATTGGCATCATTAAGAACTAATAGGTAATTATGATATATAGTAAAGAACTATTAATGAATGAATGAATTTTATTAATTTAATTAATTTGTCGTCGCCCCCCACCCCCATTCATTTTTACACTGTTGCTAAAATATGTTGCTTTCTATGTTACTTAATATTTCCTATTCTTCATAGCACAGTACTGCAAAGATGACAGATGTACTCACATTTGGTGTCCTGCGACAAAACAGGAGAGCAGTTGCATTTTAGACCAAACATATGGTGACTGAATGCGACCTGGACGCATCAGTGATGGTGAGATATTTTGCTAAATAAAATTTTCCTGTTATTGTGCAATAACATTATTATTTATTTTCCCGTCTGTATCATCTCAGTGAGCTTTTGTGAAGTTTCACGCATGCGCAGTAAAGTGAATTTAGAAGTTTCTCAGCCACACTGAAACGTCGGAAAACGCCTGAAAACGCTAGTGTGGACGGAGAGCGTTTTTAAACGAAAACCCCGTTTTCAAATGTATCCGGATTAATTAGAGTCACTTTTTCTAGTGGTTCCTGCATTGTGATTAGGTAACACTTAAGAAGCTTTTTTTAAATTATTATTATTATTATTATTATTATTATTATTTTATATTCAGAGTAAAATTGATGACTGATAAAGTCTCACACACGTGTCAGACACGACAATGTTTTGGAATTTATCAGTTAGTTAATAGTTATTAATGAGGCTAATCTCATCAAGTAATTAGTGATTAACTAATGAGGAACTATCTCTTACATTGAATATTCCTAACCAATTAGTTAAGCTTGTTTCAACATTAGTTTATATTCGTAGCTGAAGAGTTATTGTACTACTTATTAGTCCTGCATAGTTACTTATTAATGTCGGACCATTATTATAAAGTGTTACCCTAAAAACAAAAGTGTACACAAGTGCTTGGCCATGCAGGATCATGATGATCAGGTGTTCATAGAAAACAGAACAGAAAATAACCTTTTTTTTAGTACGCTTTTTACTTAACAGTAGAAAGAATACAAGGAATAAAAAGAAGATTGTTGAAAATGTAAATGGGGCGTGACGAACGACTGGGCAGAAGAGAGATAAGAGACACTAGAGATATGAGACAGTATTAAAGACATTGTGAGAGGCACTGAAGAGCAAACTGCCCTCGACATCATCCTACCAGTAAAGAGAGAGTCTGCGTGAAGATGAGGAAGACGTGTGTGACTTTGTTGACACTGCTCATATGTGTCCAGGGTAAGACCTTAATCTCAAAGACACCGGCAAATATTATTTCTCTACCGCTCCGTCACTTTGATGGCAGGTTCTCTTTTAAAGTTGGATAAATATTCTGTTTTTAAGTTGTACAGAGATTTAATGCATTTTTCTATGGAATAACATGCAAAAATTTCCTTACAACACAAAAAATTACTGAAAAGATGTCCTGAAATATCACACGTGTATGAATAATTGTTATAATGGCAAGTCTTTGGAGGGTGTATTTTTGGTGAGGTCCAATTGAGAGGTTCAATCTGGCAGAAGTTATCTAAACCTCTAACATCTTACAGACACCCCGATCAGGAGCCTATGCAATATTTGTGTCTCTGAGCAGCAGGGTCTCTCTTTCTCACAGTGTGTGCCCATGGCCCTTTGTACCCTCGTATTAAGGGTGTTGATGCCCAGAAGAAGGCATGGCCGTGGATGGTTAGTTTGCACACCAGCAATAGCCATTTTTGTGGAGGTTCCCTCATCAGCAGTCAATGGGTGCTGTCGGCCGCTCACTGTTTCGTTAGGTCAGAGCCATATCAACACATGCAGTATATACAGACTTTACAAAAACTATCTTTTGTGATTTCTCTTGCACTATTTTTGTTTTTTTTTAGGAAGGATGGCACAGATATGGATGTGGCCAGCATACTTGTGTACTTGGGAAAATTGAAGCAGCATATAACAAAAAGGAAGGAAAAAACGAGAGATGTAGACAACATCTACATTCACCACTTGTACAATCGTTTAACTTATGATGGAGACAATGACATCGCTCTGCTGCACTTGTCTTCTCCAGTCACCTTTAATGACTATATCAGTCCAGTGTGTCTGGTGAAGAGTGGCAGTGATTTCCCTGCTGGCACCAGTAGTCGGATCATAGGCTGGGGACAAATTGCTCATAAAGGTACATGGGTCCTGTCAACAACTAGATCTGACTAATTTATTCATATAAAGACATCACAATGATGTGTGTGTGTGTGTGTGTGTGTTTGTCTGTGTCCAGTGGATCTAGCTCCTCCTGGGACTCTGCAGGAGGCTGAAGTTTTTCTAGAGGATGATATTGATTGCCAGACCCAGCTGAATACATACATTAATCAACTGAACAGCCTGAAAAAAAAAACATATATAAAATACACCACGAATATGATTTGTGCTAGGAATTCTGCTGGTGTTACAGCCAAATACTGTGTATGATGATTATTACTCATTACTGTATATACAGACCATGTCTGTCAAAATTTATTGTATCTTTACACATCAATTACTTGATTTTTTTTTCAGTTTGTACTTCTGTTTGAGGTTTGTTATCATGAAAAGTAAAACAGGTGACTGAAAACACAACCTCTTCCCGTCTGCAGGGGGATTCTGGAAGTCCAATCATGAGTGAACACTGTTCAAAGTGGGTTCAGTTTGGCATCAGCAGCTACAGTTTTAAGTGTCGTCCAAACACTCCTGGTGTTTACACCCGTGTCTCACATTATGAGCAATGGATTAAAGACACTATCCAGAACAATCAAGACTTCCCACAATTTGTTAACGTAAACGACCAGTGCCCACGTAAGATTTTCTCACACACATTTATACAGTTACACACATTTATGCATCATTAATAACACGCTTAATTGACTGATGATTGTTTATGTGTATTTATACAGCAGACTCAGGAAAAAAGAGCAAGACAAATAAATGGTGCTGCTGTTGTGAGTCAAACCTCAAACACACACACACACAACACCAGGGGTGTAAAGTAACGAATTACAAATACTCACGTTACTGTAATTAAGTAGTTTTTTTCAGAAATTGTACTTTTTTGAGTAAGTTTAAAATTGTGTAATTTTACTTTTACTTGAGTACATTTTAAGTGATGTATCGGTACTTTTTCTCCGCTATTTTCCTTCTGTTTGTGGCCGTTACTCGTTACATGCTTGTTTTAATTTGATTTTTATCCATCAACGTGATTGGATCGAGTAATCGGTCTCGTGACTGTCATCAATTCAAATTAAGCATAGAAAACTTACCGCCTATTCCTGCTGTTACTCGTGACTGATGTGGATGTGCATTCATCACGCATCAATTCAATCCAGATATCAGCGTCTTCCTCTAATATGCTAAGGTACATTTCACATTTCTGCTTAATATGATATTTATAGGCTGGCCTGTCTACATGGCCTAACATTTGGTCTGAGGTTGGGGGAATTGCGAGACGAGTTCATGATGCGGTGAATTCCCGCTCCCATTTACTTCACAATCATAGAGACGCGCGTCACGATCTGTGCACCACTGCCGCGTCTCGCGCTCGCCATGCCGCCAGATTCAGAATCAGTGCACATGCCGTTAACTTGAACTGCATTACTTAATAAGAAATTAGCATAGCTCGTTAATAAACAGCGTTTTTTGATTGATCCATTATATGACCCGTCTTCATTTGGAAAGTGCACTTGCGCAAAAACATTTTTCATGCTGAACTTTTTTTTTTTTTTGGATGCATGCTGCTGATAAAACAGACAAAGTGTGTTTGTTTCTTTTGTAGAAGTTTCCTGGATATAACTTCCCTATTTAATGCACGATTTTCCTTACAAATTATATTATCAGCATCAATGTGTGTAAATGTAGCCGTGTAAAATGTAAGGGATGATGCCACCCTTCTAGAACAATGCATTTACGTTTAAATTGTAACATATTTAATAGCATGGAATAAAAGTGTGTAATTAGTGTTAGCTCACTATCTTAGCCTTTTTCAGTGCATTAGTTGAGGTAATATGATAATATTAGTGATTCTCATTTATCAAAACACTAACATTGGTACCGTTTTGGAGAGAAATTGGGTATTTTTTTTATTTTATTTAACCCATCTCTTGGTGTGTGATGCTGAACTATCATATGAGTTTCTAAAGGTTTTTCAATTCTTTGCACAGTTATGAATATTGATATTTTATGTGCAACAATAACATGCTCAGGCCCAGTGGCTTTTTGCCTAATTTTAAATGCTTTTTCCCCCAAATAATATGATTTAAATGGTGATGAGTGTACTGATTTGATGCATTTTAAAAAGATGGATGATAGATATTCTTCAATCTTTCTTACAAAGAACAAATGTGAATTCCAGTATGTGCATTTTTTTAATTTATAAATTGTAGTGCACAGTGTTTATTATAAGGGTTAGAATCCGCACCTCACTACTCACTACTCACTACTCTTGAGTACTTTTAAATAAGCTACTTTTTTACTCTTACTCAAGTAGTTTTTTGGACAAGTACTTTTTACTCTACTCACACTACATTTTTTGGAATGTAATGGTACTTTTACTTGAGTATGTTTTTTCAGTACTCTTTCCACCACTGCACAACACATACTGTACATTAGTCAGTTCACACCAACAAGAGTGTGTTGTGGCTGTACATTAGTGTGTGTTCATATACAATTATAACTAAAAGTAAAAACTCCTTTAATACAACAGAACAATTTTTGGGGGGGACACACTCCTTGTTGTCACAGTCTTCGTCTTCACCTGTTTGTCCCGTCATCTGCACCACGCTTCCCTGGCTCCTTTTGTCTCCTCTCCTGATCTCACTCCCTCATCAGCCACCTGTTCCTCGTCTGTTCATCATCATTTTCACCTGTTTGCACTCCATTTAGTTTGAGTCCTCTGTGTATTTAGTTCCTTCTCATCCAGTCTGTCTTTGTCGGTCGATGTTTAATGTTACCCGGTATTTGCTCCTGTTTCCCTGTCTCCCTGCCTGTATTTTTGATTAAAAACCCGCATCTTCGTACTCCTCTGGACTTCGTACTCCCCGTTCCTTCTGCCTACACTCCTGCACTCCTGCACCAGACCCCGTGACAGATCGACCGACCAAAAAGCAACATGGACGCCGGGATTTTCCAGGGGATTCTCCACCCGATTCGGCGCCCCCGTTTGAGGCTCGTCCCCCGAAAGCCGGCGCTCACCGTCAGCCCTGTCGAGCCCGCGCTCACCGTCAGCCCTTCTGAGCCTGAACGCTCTTCACTGCTGGTCCCGTCCAGCTCTCCAGAGACTGAATGCTCTTCACCGCTGGTTCCGTCCAGCTCTCCAGTGATTGAATGCTCTTCACCGCTGGTTCCGTCCAGCTCTCCAGAGACTGAATGCTCTTCACCGCTGGTTCCGTCCAGCTCTCCAGAGACTGAATGCTCTTCACTGCTGGTCCCGTCCAGCTCTCCAGAGACTGAATGCTCTTCACCGCTGGTTCCGTCCAGCTCTCCAGAGACTGAATGCTCTTCACCGCTGGTTCCGTCCAGCTCTCCAGTGATTGAATGCTCTTCACCGCTGGTTCCGTCCAGCTCTCCAGAGACTGAATGCTCTTCACCGCTGGTTCCGTCCAGCTCTCCAGTGATTGAATGCTCTTCACCGCTGGTTCCGTCCAGCTCTCCAGAGACTGAATGCTCTTCACCGCTGGTTCCGTCCAGCTCTCCAGTGATTGAATGCTCTTCACCGCTGGTTCCGTCCAGCTCTCCAGAGACTGAATGCTCTTCACCGCTGGTTCCGTCCAGCTCTCCAGAGACTGAATGCTCTTCACCGCTGGTTCCGTCCAGCTCTCCTGAGACTGAATGCTCTTCACCGCTGGTTCCGTCCAGCTCTCCAGAGACTGAATGCTCTTTACCACTGGTTCCGTCCAGCTCTCCAGAGACTGAATGCTCTTCACCGCTGGTTCCGTCCAGCTCTCCAGAAACTGAATGCTCTTCACAGCTGGTTCCGTCCAGCTCTCCAGAGACTGAATGCTCTTCACCGCTGGTTCCGTCCAGCTCTCCAGAGACTGAATGCTCTTCACCGCTGGTTCCGTCCAGCTCTCCAGAGACTGAATGCTCTTCACCGCTGGTTCCGTCCAGCTCTCCAGAGACTGAATGCTCTTCACCGCTGGTTCCGTCCAGCTCTCCAGAGACTGAATGCTCTTCACCGCTGGTTCCGTCCAGCTCTCCAGAGACTGAATGCTCTTCACCGCTGGTTCCGTCCAGCTCTCCAGAGACTGAATGCTCTTCACCGCTGGTTCCGTCCAGCCCTCCAGAGACTGAATGCTCTTCACTGCTGGTTCCGTCCAGCCCTCCAGAGACTGTATGCTCTTCACTGCTGGTTCCGTCCAGCCCTCCAGAGACTGAATGCTCTTCACTGCTGGTTCCGTCCAGCCCTCCAGAGACTGTATGCTCTTCACTGCTGGTCCCGTCCAGTCTCTCCGAGCCCGAGCTCTTTTCCTCGCTGGACCCGACCAGTCCAGCCCCAGAGACCGTCCAGCCAGCGCCAGAGACCGTCCTGCCCGAGACCATCCACTCCCCATCTGCCCTTCACCCGGGGACTCAACCCAAATATTTTTGGGGGGGGGCCCAGTGTCCCAGCCACGGCCGCCTGAAGGGCTCTCACCGCCGTGGCCGCCCGAAGGGCTCTCACCGCCGTGGCCTCCCGCAGGCTCCTCACAGTCTGCTCCGCCCTGGCCTCGCCCTCATCCTGCTCCGCCCTGGCCTCGCCCTCATCCTGCTCCGCCCTGGCCTCGCCCTCATCCTGCTCCGCCCTGGCCTCGCCCTCATCCTGCTCCGCCCTGGCCACACCCTCATCCTGTTCCGCCCTGGCCTCGCCCTCATCCTGCTCCGCCCTGGCCACGCCCTCATCCTGCTCCGCCCTGGGGGGCTTCCTGCTCCTGACCACGTCCTCTACAGCCTCCAGGGCGCCCACCCCCCCTCCCCGCTGATGTTACGGCGTGAGGTCACGCCTACCGGGAGGGGGGAGTGATGTCACAGTCTTCGTCTTCACCTGTTTGTCCCGTCATCTGCACCACGCTTCCCCGGCTCCTTTTGTCTCCTCTCCTGATCTCACTCCCTCATCAGCCACCTGTTCCTCGTCTGTTCATCATCGTTTTCACCTGTTTGCACTCCATTTAGTTTGAGTCCTCTGTGTATTTAGTTCCTTCTCATCCAGTCTGTCTTTGTCGGTCGATGTTTAATGTTACCCGGTATTTGCTCCTGTTTCCCTGTCTCCCTGCCTGTATTTTTGATTAAAAACCCGCATCTTCGTACTCCTCTGGACTTCGTACTCCCCGTTCCTTCTGCCTACACTCCTGCACTCCTGCACCAGACCCCGTGACAGATCGACCGACCAAAAAGCAACATGGACGCCGGGATTTTCCAGGGGATTCTCCACCCGATTCGGCGCCCCCGTTTGAGGCTCGTCCCCCGAAAGCCGGCGCTCACCGTCAGCCCTGTCGAGCCCGCGCTCACCGTCAGCCCTTCTGAGCCTGAACGCTCTTCACTGCTGGTCCCGTCCAGCTCTCCAGAGACTGAATGCTCTTCACCGCTGGTTCCGTCCAGCTCTCCAGAGACTGAATGCTCTTCACCGCTGGTTCCGTCCAGCTCTCCAGAGACTGAATGCTCTTCACCGCTGGTTCCGTCCAGCTCTCCAGAGACTGAATGCTCTTCACCGCTGGTTCCGTCCAGCTCTCCAGTGATTGAATGCTCTTCACCGCTGGTTCCGTCCAGCTCTCCAGAGACTGAATGCTCTTCACCGCTGGTTCCGTCCAGCTCTCCAGAGACTGAATGCTCTTCACCGCTGGTTCCGTCCAGCTCTCCAGAGACTGAATGCTCTTCACCGCTGGTTCCGTCCAGCTCTCCAGAGACTGAATGCTCTTCACCGCTGGTTCCGTCCAGCTCTCCAGAGACTGAATGCTCTTCACCGCTGGTTCCG